CCACTTCTTGCGAACCAGAGCAGTGCACGGAAGCGCTGTTTACCTTCCCGCCAGAGAGGTACCTATTTATCTACTTGCACTTTGACGCACTTTCGAACTGCTAGGTTGGAAGGAGCAGGGACCGAGCAACAGGAGCTCACCCCATCACAGGGATTCAAACTGCCAACCTTCTGATCAGTGTTTAGACCACAGCGCCACCCGCATCCCAATGAGGTTGTACATATGGCTATATTCTCATTCTTTTCATGCAATAATTTACCATTCTGGAGGATCGTAGGCACTCCTCAGTACAACACCACACAAAAATAATCTGGATTTATTTAGGTATATATAGTCATGGCAAGATGTTGCTGCCTCAGCTTCTAAGCAGTTTTATTTATTGGCTGACATCTGTCTGTCTCAGGAGACCATGGAGGAGTGCTCCTTTGGGGCTGAAGTCAATCTGTTGGAAGGTTACAGCGCCTTTTTATTTATACAGGGTGTTGAATTGCAGTGATTATGGCAGTGAAAAACATGATTATTTCATTGCAATTTATTTTTGGACTTATGTATCAACATTGGTTTTGCACACAGAGAAGGCTATAAATAATATATTGTTTTAATTTGTTGTTTTTAATGATCAAAATCGCTGTTTTGCAATCTTTTATTATCGTGTACTTCATGCATGCTGTTACAACACAAAGGAAGGAAACAATACTAATGAACTGAAGGAATTCAAAGCTCTGTCCAGCTCTGCATGCTGTGTTTTTTTACTCTTTAAATTATTGTATATTTATGGTGTTTTTGAAATTGCGCATTTTTGGGAGAGGGGAGACTGCCCACTGGGTAGCGGGTGGGCTGGCAAGGCTCCCTAAATTTAGAGGCCCTAGGCTTCAGTCTAGGTTTGTGTGATGGCTTGTGAGTGCTCTCCACAAGAAATGCCTCTGCTCACTCAGAGACACATATATACATCCTTTATTTTACATATGTACAAGCAGCACACATAATTAGACATCCGAATCCTGTGAGTCAGATTCTCGGAGTGACTTACATCTGCCCCTTTTCCAGCAGAAGAGGCGAGGCATTCTCATTTGATGGCTCTGCCCCCTCTTTTTTAACCCTCTCCTTTTCTGAGCAGATGGAACCGGCACTGCATCGCTGTCTGTGCCAGAGCTTCCTGTGTGGAGTTGAGGCTCTGCTCCAACATCTGAGAGCCTTCCCTCCTCCTGACTTCCCCTCCTTTCCTCCACTGGCACTTCTGGCCCCCCTTCCTCTGCTTGTCTCTCCTCCCCCCCTGCGTTCTCCGTCAATACCATGACAGTTTGTCATTGACAAACCTAGACAGCATCTTAAAAAGCAGAGACATCACCTCACCAACAAAGGTCTGTATAGTTAAAGCTATGGTTTTCCCAGTAGTAATGTATGGGAGTGACAGCTGTACCATCAAGAAGGCTAATCACTGAAGAATTGATGCTTTTGAATTCTGGTGCTGGAGGAGACTCTTTGAGAGTCCCATGGACTGCAAGAAGATCAATCCTATCCATTCTGAAGGAAATCAGCCCTGAGTGCTCCCTGGAAGGACAGATTGTGACGCTGAGGCTCCAATACTTTGGCCACCTCATGAGAAGAGAAGACTCCCTGGAAAAGATCCTGATGTTGGGAAAGATGGAGGGCACAAGGAGAAGGGGACGGCAGAGGACGAAATGGTTGGATAGTGTTCTCGAAGCTATCAGCATGAGTTTGACCAAACTGCGGGAGGCAGTGGAAGACAGGAGTGCCTGGCGTGCTCTGGTCCAGGGGGTCACGAAGAGTTGGACATCACTAAACAACTAAACAACAACAAGGCTGCAGCCTACTTAGCCTATACATAAATCTGGCACTGGTTGTCATATCATCCGCAGTGACTGCCCACTAACTACTAAAGCATGTTCAGTGTTTCGTTGTTGACATTTAAAGCCCTAAATAACTGGGGACCAGTATGTCCAGTAGGTAAATACAGACCAAGCCGATTTATAAGACCTTCCAAAGGGAACTTGCAGGTTATTTCATTATTTTTGCTTAGGGGTTATCCACACTCACCTTCCCACCAAGCTTTCCAGGCAGGGTCCATGCTATAAAGCTCCATTTCTGAGCACCCATCCCATTGCTTCAGAGTTTCCCCCTGTAAACCTGTTCTTTACTGCTGAATCAGAACAAAGGGCAATCTGCTGAAAACCTGCATTGCCATTTGTTGTACAGTGGTACCTCAGGTTAAGAACTTAATTCGTTCTGGAGGTCTGTTCTTAATCTGAAACTGTTCTTAACCTGAAGCACCACTTTAGCTAATGGGGCCTCCTGCTGCCGCCGCGCTGCCAGAGCAAGATTTCTGTTCTCATCCTGAAGCAAAGTTCTTAACCCGAGGTACTATTTCTGGGTTAGCGGAGTCTGTAACCTGAAGCATCTGTAACCTGAGGTACCACTGTATTTCAGGTTTTTGCGGGGAATGGTCCAGGCTGGAAAATGGATACAGGGGTGTAGTGGGTGTGTGTGTGTTGGGCGACCCCCATGCAAACGAACGCAACGCAGCCTGGCCCAGCGCTTCTCTTTGCCCGCCAAGGGCTGCATCGACTGGCCGGGTTTCCCCCTGCGTGGGCAGGCAGGCGGCTCAGCGCAGCCCCACTTTGCTCCAGTGGGGGTAGGGTCATTCTGACGGTGTTGGTGGCAAGGACTGGCGCCCCCCCGGCAAAGTGCAAGCATGTGCCTGTCCAAAGCACCATCAGCCGAGGTTGCTTGGTCATGGAGTTTTAAAGTGCGAAACTGTGCCTGGCTCCTGCCAACCTCGTAGTTCAAAAGCACGCCAAAGTGCAAGTAGATAAATAGGTACCGCTCTGGCGGGAAGGTAAACGGCGTTTCCGTGTGCTGCTCTGGTTCCCCAGAAGCGGCTTAGTCCTGCTGGCCACATGACCCAGAAGCTGCATGCCGGCTCCCTCGGCCAGTAAAGCGAGATGAGCGCCGCAACCCCAGAGTCGGCCATGACTGGACCTAACGGTCAGGGGTCCCTTTACCTTTACCACCATCTGGAATGTCCTCCTTTGGGTAGTTCATGAGGCTTATACAGTAAAGACCTTTAAACACTTCTTAAAAACTTATGTGTATATCCACACTTTCCTGGACTTTGACTCTTAATTTTTAATTTGCTATTTTTCACACATCCCTGCTTTATTTCTGATATATACTGTAGTCTCCATTTTCAGCTCATTTGTAGGGAATTTTATCGAATGCCTAAAAGATCTGGATATCATCAGGCCTGTCGTGAAATTCTGTTTTATGGCAACGAGAACAAGACAGGCCGCGGTGACAGTGATGGCCGACGAATGAGTACTGATTTTAATCTCTGGAATACAGACATCAGCTGAAGAAGTGCTATTTTTTGATGTAAATGAGTTTATAGAGAATTTTTAATTCTGTTTCTTGATGCGGATGTGGCATATGTTGTTGTTAACTTTGCTGTCTGGTCTTTGACCGCAATAAAGATCAATCGATTGATATTGAATGTCACTGTTGTACTTTTACTGCTTTCATGCAAACCACTTGCAGATTTCTATTATGTTAAGTGGTACAAAAATGCTATTCAATGAATAAGCAAATGCATATTGGAGCAGGCTTTGAAGTGTGGATGTGGCCCGTTCACATTGCATCAAAAGTGTTGGGGGGAGGCAGGAGGGGTCAGTGCTGTGCTGGTCCATTGATCATCATGCAGAATTGGACTTCTGTCAGGTACGGGAGTTCCCCTCTCCCTTCTGGTAGTTCACCGATAAGAAGTAATGGGTATTTGGTAGATGTAGTCCTTTTATTACAGCATTATGTTGCAAGCACAAACAGGCAACCCTCTGCAAGGATATCAGTTGCCTACTCTGACTCCTCCTCACTTCCGAAACAAGAAACGTGCCAACAGGAAGTCCCTCCCCCCTGCATCTCCTTTGTTCTCTGACACACTCGGACCTTCAAGTTTGGGGAGAGGGAGCGGGTTCCCCCCACTCTCGATTGATGTATTGCCCAGCTGCTCCCTGCCTTCTGGTTGCTTAGCGACTATCTCATAGCTGGGTAGCTCCTCTCTCAACTGTGCAGCTTCTGTGTCTGCCTGTCTCTCTGCTTCTGGAAACACTGGAAGCAGGGGGTGGTGATGGTGAATATTCCCCCTCCTCTTCTGTTAGGAGCTGATCTCCCTGTGATTGCATTCCCCAATCTTCCGATCCAGACCAGCCCCATACACTGTCCCAATGTGCCTGCACAGCGCCGACCTCTCACCGCCATGCGCCATCTACTCTCCCTCCTAGTAAGCAGCAGTGATGCCGCTACCAAGAGGCCAGGTGTGCACAGCCACCCCTCTGACTGACTGCTGCTGCATTTCATTGCTTTCAATAGGTTGCACATTTGAATGCACACGTCTGTTCATATTTGGATGCAGTGGGATATGTTGTTAATATGTCCCAGTTTTAACATCTCTACAGCTAGACAGCGATGTTAGGGTACAGGTAAAAATGCAACCACAGAGCCTAGGACTTGCCGATCAGAAGGTCGGCGGTTTGAATCCCCACGACAGGGTGAGCTCCCGTTGCTCGGTCCTTGCTCCTGCCAACCTAGCCACGGGGCATTTCCATTTATTGTTTCGCTATTCATTTGCTATTATTTTCTTTGCTGTTTAAACTTCTTTTTTAAATACTTGTTTCTATTATACTACGTACATCACCTTGAGACATACATGTGGAAGGTGATTAATTGATTAATAAAAATAACACCATGGCTGTTTGGATACACAGGCATTGTACAAATACATTCACCAGAGAGCTGGGATCAGCTGCAGTTTTCTATAAAGTGTACCATTGGTTGGAAACCCAAATTTTGAATCATGGGATGTTTTGGCGAGTCCTATATTCTTAGTTCCTAATAGGAATTCCACAGGTAAGCATAGGGGAGGGGGAGAGGGATGAAATCACTTTTATTATTACCATTTGTTTGTTTGTTTGTTGTTGTTGTTTATTGGCTGTGATTCCATTTGAAAAGAACATTGTACCATTGAACCCACATCATGCAGGAAAAGGTAGCAGGCAGATTACAAACAGAATTTACATTCACAAAGTCTCTACTTGAAGTCACCTTCTGGCTGCTTCCGAAGGTGCTGCATGCATTCCGAAGAGGGAAAAAAAGAGCATTTTGTTGGTTTGTTTCATTTCACTTATTAGAAAATGCCCATCTAGTTAGTGTTCTGCGCTTTTTTATTATTAGTATTAGTATTACGCGAGTGTGAAAACAAGCATTGTTTAAAAAGACATTTACTGAAAGATGTTGCTGACTGAGCACATAGAACCGGAATCTTGGTTAACACAGAATAAAACATATACAGGTAAACGGGTTCAGAGAGATACATAGGACGTTACATTCAGATCACAACAATGGAATTCCTAACAACAATTGGTTCTAAGAGCCTGTTCGATTGATGTACTGAACATCACTGGTATGTTGAAGGACTGGGCAGATGGAAACTAAGCTAACATATTGTACCGGAAACATAGACAGAGAAATGCTGAAGGGATTTAGCACACAATGCAAGTTTGTTCGTTGGTTCGTTTAAAACACAGAATAGCATTCGTAATGAATATTGCAGTCTGATTTCATATGGCTTTCTCTAAAGATATATGCATGACGCTCAATGCCAAACTCACTCGTAATCACCTGGCTTCCCCCGGAAGCGAAGGCCTTTTGATTAATGCTGCTTTAATTTATTGATTGTTTAAAAATAAAACAGAAAGGCTTTGGGAGAGGGAGGTGAACAAAATGCAGAAATGGGGAACTGCCCAAGCTTTCCATATCAATACAAACTATTTTTTTCTTAAGGAAAAAAAGAAACCCATATACCTGAGATTGAACATATTGTGATTTAATTCTTTTTAATAATAATAATAAAAATGCTGTGGAAGGAGAAAGAGATATTCAGAACCCAAGCGAAGAATCACACTTCTCTTTGGTGTTGGCTTGTGCCCATCAAGTTGCCGAGTGCTAGGTGTTAGTGTTTGATTAGTGGTCCTCAACTCCATAGATACCAGAAGCAAAGAACTGAGGGGTTGTGCCGACATTTCATTTCAGGGAAGGGAAGTGCCCATTGTGACTGTGTTGACAGCAGTTTAGGCACTTTGGAGGCCAGGGACCTTAAAGTTGTCGAGCACTGCTCCAGGCCATTGATTCAGGGCCGATCTGGTCAGCCAAACCAGGTGGCAAGAGTTCTTCTTGGAATGTACCAGTTCATATTTCAACAGGTGATGGGAGAATCTCATTTCTGAATACTCCCCCATCTGAAAAAAATTAAAAAATGAAATCCTTGCATGCTGAAAAGCAGCACATCAAGAAGATTGTCTGGCTAGAACCTTTCTGCCTGGAGTGCTAGGTTTGGATGTGCAAGGGCTTTCTCCTAACGTTAGAGAACATTCATAACTTTGAGAAGCTGCCTGCTGCCTGAAATGGAACAAGCCAGGAAAAAAATACTACTATACGATTCCAGTGGCTTCAAGCCCATCTATAGAAACATCGTTGGAGAGAAATTCACTCGCTCTGCTTTTAGCAGAATAGCATGTCTACCTCTATTCCTAGAAAAATAAAATATTTAAATATATGTCTCTGTTAATGGGCCAGAATCAGGGGTACACCTCATATAGAACTATTTCTGTTTCTTCGTGTTTATAGCTGCAGTTTGAACTCCACTAAACCTGGAGTAGCAAACCCCATTGCATGGGGTTTACTTTTGAGTAGATATGGTCAGTATTGCAGCCTTAATCTCCTCTTTTGGGCCACAGTCAAGCAGGTGCATATGGCCAGCATGCAGAATGGAAGCTGCAAAGCTGGCCGTAGGGTAAATCAGTTGCCCAACTGCTCTTCTGCAAGGTGGGACACTGTGGACTGAAAAGAGATTGGTATTTCTTGGATCAGCCAGACAAAAGCATTGCCATGGACAGAACCAGCTGGAAGGCATATCGAGTGAACTCACCATTCAGCAAGGGCAGATTTTGTGTGAACTGGTCCTTAATAGGGGAAACGTTGCCTAAGTGGTTGTAGATAGACAATACACTGGTTCATGGTTGATGAAAAAATAAAGATTCCTTTGCCCAAACAGCCAAAGGCTCAGTCACTATGAGAATTTGAATAAGAGCACACCCCACATTTACAGATTCTAATAGGTATAACAGGAATCACTTTCCCCCAGAGAACCCTGGGAATCTCAGTTCTGTGACCAGGGTTAGCGGAAGCGAAGGAAGCACTGTCAGGGAATGTTCATCACCTTTACCAGACTTAATTTCCCAGGATTCTTTGGAGGAAACCAGACCAGTGACATTGGCACATGCCAATAGAAAGCTCATATTCATGCTATAGATGAGGTTTCAGAAACCTGCGGCCTCAACTTGAGACCTGGCATTTGGGAAAGAAAGTGGTAGGACATCTCAGCAGCCTTTTGCTGGCATGGAGGGATGAGTAAGACAACACAGTGAGGGAATGCAGACACCCTAAATCTCGTTACACTACCAGTTCACTGAAAATGAAAAGTTTACCTCAGGATTCATGACAAGCCCACTTTCCTCTCATAAGGTTATCTGGTGGGGCTTTCCTTTTGACCAGAAATGCTGGCCACCAGAAACAGTGTTCTCAATTTGGAACTCCCGACCCAGAAGCCACATTCAACCTGCTCCCTTATTGCTTTAAGAAGATGGCAGAGAAGCAAACGCTTTCAGAGGGTGCTTGTGGCCCTGTGGAGACCAGGAATGTTAGATGTATTGTATTTGTATCTGCTGTTGATTCTTCTCTTATTCTCTATACGTGTAGGGTTTTGTTTTTTTAAAAAAAGAATTTAAAATAATTAAAGTATAAGTTTGTTTTGTAAGGGTTTCAGTATGTCATAAACCACCTGTCTTTGAACCTTAGATGGGGCATATGTTTTATAAATGCAAAAATTGTGACCTTACCCCCAAACTGCTGGGATTCAAGGGAAAACATACCTAGTATTATCTGTGGAAATATGAAGGTAAGGTTATTGTTGTTTTCAAAAAATAACAAAATTCTAAACTGGATTAAGCAATGTGCTCTAAGTCAGTTTTTTAAACATTGATCTAGATGGGGCTTCAGAATGGAGTTGTTCTGCCTGGACATAGCATATCCTTAAAACTTCTTTTCTGGCATTATGGATATATAACGATAGTCAACATTTTGGAAATTAATCTGTCTTTGTACAATAGGTATGGCCAATATGCCAAACTAGAACGCAGCAAAGCAATGAACAACACCCCACACCTGCCACCTCACACCTTAGGATGTTGGGCGCTAATAAATCTTATTTTTAAAACACACACACATTCAATATGACTGCTGGTCTTGCCACTGTCTGGCGAAAGTGACTTAGCGCTTGGCTGATTTCCAACTGAGCTTTTATTCTGGGACCAATGCAGATTTGGCCATTCAGACTGGGAAACTTTCAATAACAGGACTGAGCTACACAATTTGCAGGCTCACATTATATATCTGTTGTTAGTTCGGAATACAGGTGGGGAATTCGAATATTTAAAGGCATTTGCTGGCTCAACCCCTGTTGCTCCATCCTCACCCCACTCTACCCCTGAGCACTGGACTCCCTGTGTAATTCTAAATCATGGGAGAAACCGATCTGTGCACAGCTAGACCCCTGCTCCAGACCTTCAGCCTCAATGCATGTAGAAGCAGCCCTTTGGAAATGTGACAGTGAGGGTGGGGCCAGTGAGGCCCCATTATTCTGATGGGCCATAATGCCAGAAGATTTCTATTCAACCATTCAGGTTGGAATTCAATTCAATCACAAAATCCCATCTGCAGAAGCGTATCAGCTTGCAAAACTGAATGATCCTCTTCCCACTGTGTGTCATTCTGGGGGTTCTCCTTACACCATCCCAGACAATTTAGGGGGCAAGGAAAGTACACACAGGGAGGAGAGGGGGGGAAGCCTCAATGCACAAGTTGAAGCCCCCTATCAGTCTTCCACTTCCTTGGCTACCAGTAGTGGTATAGCTAGACCAGCGACAAACAGGCTTTTCACACTGTCCTGCTGACCATGTGTTTCAGCTCCAATTCCAGGATCAGACCTGGGAATGTTACACATAGGAAACAATGAACACTGAGTTCCACCACACCAGCAAGGTAACCTCAGTTCTGGCACTGGGACAGAATAAATGTTGGTGTGCAGAAGCTGATCTCCTGAAATATCTAGAAAGCCAACAGTATCTAGAAAGAAAAAGCACCAAGAGAGAATCTTGCTGCACCTGCTTAACACTTTTGGCTCATCTAGCTCCATATCGCCTTCTTGGCTAAGCAACAGCTATCCCAGATCTCAAACACAAACTCCATCCCCCTGGGACTTCTTACCTCCACAGTATTGCTACGCCAGTGAACTATGGTCCTTCTCTGACCTGGGATAAGCTTCAGTGTTTTCAAACTTCAGTTTCACAGGTGAAAAATTGGCCATTGTCATTGGACAAAGGCTCATACCCATTTATTTTCTGAAGGGGGTACGAAACAGGATGCCTATCACAAGCCAATACAAAGCAGAGAAGCCTCATATCTACATTTTAATAATAGTTTAAGTGACCAGTACCCACCAATTTGGAGCAGGTTTGCTTCGAAATGAACAACAGGGTGGAATATTGTAGTGTACACATCTCCTGCTCCCAGTCTCTCTGTTAAGTAAAGCATTAGAGGTGCGCTTTCGTTTTTTAAGACCTTGGAAATTCAGTGAAGGGACCCGCTGGATCTCCAAGGAAGCATGGTTCCTTTAGCCCTCCCCGTCTGGCCATGAAAAACAACTTGAGAGCTTCAACATGAGGTGATTGGATAGTGCAGATGATCCAAGTGTCTCCAAACAAGCTGGAGACTTTATGGATTAGAGGAAATGTACTGGCCGACTTTTGTTAAGCTAGAAAGGGAAGGCAGCACATTGCAAGCCAAAACTGCAGTTCTATATTCCCTTACCTGGGAGGAGTAAGTTTCACCATACTAAAAGTGCCTTCACTGGAGATTTTTAAGCAGAGGTTGGATGGCCGCCTGCTATGGATGCTTTAGTTGTGATTCCTGCATTGCAGGGGGGTTGGATTAGATGACCCTCGAGGTCACTTCCAACTCCACAATTCTCTGATATTGTGATTTACTTCTGACAGGCATACGTAGGATTGTGCTGTCAAGAAACTTCCTCGCCAGCTTCCTATTATGGCTGTTTTCAAGGCTACGAGACCCTTGCCTAGAAGATTCTGAGGCACGTAGATGCTTTCTTATAAAGTGCAGTTGAACGCAGCTCTTCCACTGACATCTGGGCTGGAATTATGGGCAGTGAATGGTCCAGTTTCGACATTATCTCTTATCAGTGATGAGGAATAATGGGAATAGCAGAAAACAAACATGTGTTTCCATTTCAGCTGGGCTGGAGACACCCTACAAGGGCAGGGCTTTGCTGAATATCCTCCCATTTGCATTTTGGGGCCAAAAGTAGTGATTTGTGGAGGCTGAAATATTTGTTTCAAAGCAGTGGTTGTGAATATATTCATGGCCCTCATTGTTTTTGACACTGGCCATTGTTCCCTTAGCCGCTCTGCTTATCTGCCACTTCCACCTGCCTCTATTGCCTTCTGGGGTTAGTCAGGCTGGTCACTGGGACAATGCCCTATTGCTATGTAGCCAATCGTACTTGGCATTTTGGTGGCATCGCTGAGGACAAATCTAAGAGAGGAATGTTGCTTAGATTAATCATGTAAGTGATCCCAGCCAATCAAGCATCTCACAGGGAACATGGCAATATTACTACATTATGCAGCGGATCGGTTTTGTCTATGTGGTGATGTTGCTGAAGGCAAACCAAGTCAGTTGGAAGAGAGAAGGAGGGTGGGCAATGTTACTGGACAGGGGAAGAATTTTACAGCCATTGCCCCGCCCCCATCACCCAAAAGAGGAAGGTGGTTCTTTTTTTATACTATCCAAAAACAGTGAGTACTTTCAACTTAGACCTATAAAGGGGCATCCTAATGGGTGCCTTGATTCTCTGTTAGTTACAAATTCAGTAAATGAGGAGTGTGTGTGTGTGTGTGTGTGTGTGTGTGTGTGTGCCACCTATCATTCACTGTGGGTGAACCCTCCCTCTTGCTGGGAGACAAAAACGAGCATGCTGTAGTCCCTTTTCTCTGCTTAATGTACACCTGCCTCTGTTTAACATACGCAGAACTATGGCTTTATAATAATAAAAAGTTGTGTAGACTGCAGCTCATTCATCTTTACATCCACTTGGAGGCATCGACTAGATGTGAATATGTACAAATTAAGGGATGGATGGGAGAGGGAGGAGGGTGTGGGTCAGGGTGGGGCTTGAGTAAATGGCAAGGGGCTGGAGCTGTGGGTGGGGAGAGGTTGCGTGATGTGTGGCAAGTATAAATTCCCCATTTGGCCAATGGGAAATCCATTTCCTTTACTGTCCACGGACAGACTGGCAGTCTGTAGCCATTTACTTCTTGAACATGTCCTGGAGGGGACCAGGCAGGTATTTGATAACGGTGTCTAGAATGCTCTCCTCTTCCTCCTCATCCTCGTCGCCACAGCCAGGGGGGATGGCCTTCTTTGGACGTGTCAGACTCCCTTCGGCATTGGCTTCCAGAGCAGCCTGGGCTTCTGCTTCCCTTTCTTCCTTCTTCTTTATTCCGTACTGCATCAGGGAATAGGGGAGAGGATTGTAGGGAAGTAGAGAGAGGGAGGGAGGGAAGGAAGGAAGGAAAAAAACCACAATTTTGTCACTCTCACAGCTAACACCAGGAATTAAAGCAGGAGAGGATGCCGTACCGAATGTTAATATTTGCTTCTTGCAAAGATCTCATCTCTGCCATGGCCTGTTGGTGGTCAATATTGCTGAGCCTTGAAATCAAACAGCCTCTTTAAAATGTCAGGCCAGCCTTGAATGACAAAGCTGACGAAAGAGGCATGACCCCTAAAAATCAAGGAACATTTATATAAAGAAACAAATCCCTCTTAATCCCCTGCTCGGTTGCACAAAAGTTGAATACAGAAGACTGAAAAAAAAAGTCCCAACCCAACTGGTAATTTACTGAGTAGATTTTCAACCATATGGAATGCTTCTCTGTGGCTGCTCTGGGGAAGAATGATTCATCACACACTCTCCAAGTTGCCTTGGGTAGATGAATGTCTGAAGGGCTGATCATGAAGAAGGTGGAGCAGACTTGCCCTCTGTCACTTCAGAGGGAAGGACTATGGCAAGTAATACGCTACATTTCAGGAGAGCTGTTCCGACAGGAAGAGCAATTTGTTTTTGTTTTTTGTATATAATTTTTATTAATTTTCCAATAAAAACAAATTTATAACACAATTAAACATTAAGAATTCATCACACATCTTTTTTCTTTTAGACTTCCATCAACATGTCTGATAATTTTCCGTAGTTATTACATATCTTCACATTTCTTCATTTATATTGCACTATGTATATCTTATCTTACCATATTATTTAAACAATATTTCTACCAAAACTTCTTACAGAGCTTCTTGGAAACTTACAAACGTTATATCATTATCACAAATATTTTGAATATATTCTGTAAATTTATTCCAGTCCTCAGTGAATCTTTGGTCCTGTCGGCTGCGAATCCTCCCTGTTAATCTGTCCAGTTCTGCATAATTCAGTAATTTCGTTCTCCATTCTTCAATCGTGGGCATTTCTTCTTGTTTCCATTTCTGGGCCACCAGAGTTCTAGCTGCTGTTACTGCCTACAAAAATACTTTCTGATCCTTCCTTTTTATCTCACCACCTAAAATTCCTAATAGGAATGCTTCTGGTTTTTTAAGAAATGTATATTTCAATATTTTCTTTATCTCATTATATATCATTTCCCAGAAGCACTTCATTTTTTTACATTCCCACCACATATGATAAAATGTCCCTTCTTTCTCCTTACATTTCCAACATTTATTACTCACCTTATACATCTTACTTAATTTGACTGGTGTTATATACCATCGATATATCATTTTCATAACATTTTCTTTAATTGTGGTGCATGCTGTAAATCTCATCCCTTCCTTCCATAATTTTATCCAATCATCAAATTGAATGTTATGTCCAAAATCTTTGGCCCATTGAATCATAACTGATTTAACCTCTTCATCCTTCAAATGCCATTCTAATAATAATTTATACATCATAGATAAATTTTTAACTTCATTATTCAATACTTCTCATTGAAACCTAGATTCTTTTTCAAAATAGCCTCTTTCTGCAACCTCTTTTCTAAACATTTCATTAATCTGAAAGTAATGCAGCCAATCATTTACATGTTCTTTCACTTCTTCATATGGTTTCATTTTCCACTTACTTCCTTCTTTCTCGATTAAACTCCCATATGTTATCCACCTCCTAGTCATATTGATCTTTTTAACACTCATCACCTCTAATGGTGATAGCCAATGTGGGATTTTTGGTTCCAGTAGGTTTTTATACCTACCCCATACCTCGATCAGAGATCCTCTAATAATATGATTTTCAAAACCTTTATGCACTTGTTTCTTTTCGTACCATAAATACGCGTGCCAACCCAATCTATTATCATATCCTTCCAAATCTAACAAATCTGTATTTTCTAATTTCATCCATTCTTTCAACCAACATATACATGATGCTTCATACTATAACCTCAAATCTGGCAGGGCAAAGCCTCCCCTCTCTTTTAAATCTGTTAACAGCTTAAATTTTATTCTTGGCTTTTTGCCCTGCCAGATATATCTTGAAATTACTTTTTGCCATTCTGTAAATATTGCTACTCCTTTAATTATTGGAATTGCTTGGAATAAAAACATCATTTTCGGTAACACACTCATCTTTATCGTTGCAATTCTTCCCCAAAATGATAATTTCATTCTACCCCACACCTCTAAATCTCGTTTAACTTTATTCCATACTGGTACATAGTTATTTTGAAACAAATCAATATTCCTGGAAGTCAATACAATCCCTAAATATTTCACTTTCTTTACCACCTCAATCTCTGTCTGTTGCTGTATTCTTTCACTAATTTCTTGGTCTATGTTTCTCACCATTATTTTGGTTTTTTTCTTATTCAATTTAAACCCTGCCACCTGTCCAAATTCTTCCATTTCTTTTAGTACTTCTTTAATACTCTTTATAGGATCTTCTATCATTATAACCAAGTCATCAGCATACGCCTTTACTTTATATTGATTACGGCCAACTGATACCCCTTTTATCTGTTCATTGTTTCTTATTGAACTTAATAAGACTTCCAGGACCGATATGAATAGCAGCGGTGATAGAGGACACCCTTGTCTTGTACCCTTGGTTATTGCAATATTTTCCATTATTATGTTATTAACAATTAGTTTTGCTCTTTGTTCGGAATATATTGCCTTTATACCATTTAGAAAAGATTGGCCCATATCCATCACTTCTAGGTTTTTTAACATAAATTCCCAAGAAATATTATCGAAGGCTTTCTCCGCATCCACAAAAATTAACATAGCTTGTTTATCCTTCCTGTTAGTCAGATATTCCATTATATCAATTATATTTCTTATGTTGTCTTTCATCTGTCTACCAGGAAGGAAACCTGCTTGATCCTTCTGTATCATTTCCTTTAAAATTCTTTTCATCCTATTTGCCAAAATGTTTGTGAACATTTTGTAATCATTATTTAATAATGAGATCAGCCTGTAATTCTTCACTTGGGTCAGATCTGAGTCCTGTTTGGGAATAAAAGTTATATAGGCTTCTTTCCAGGTTTCTGGTATTT